GGTTCTCTATTTTCCCTCGACGAGCGTCCTTTCGTTTCCAGAACATGTGGGTCCACCACCATTCTTACTACGATATTGTTAGAGCTTCCTGGCAGCAGGCTGCGCACCTCTATGGGATGCGCAACCTAGAGGAGAAGCTCAGGAGACTCCGCTGCGTTTTGAAGCAGTGGAACTGGATGATTTTTGGTGACATTTCTCAGCGCCTTACGGCAGCTCAGACTGCGTATGTAGAGGCTGAACGGACCTATGATCTGGATTCTTCGCCAGAGAATAGGTCCGAGATGCGCCGCTGCCATGCTGAGTACCAGTTGCGCCTCCTCATGGAGGAAGATTTCTGGAAGCAGAAGGCTACTGTGTGCTGGGTAGCTGAGGGAGAGCGTAATACCAAGTTCTTCCAGGGATTCGTGAGGCAGAAGCGAGTCAAGTCTTATATCCATAGTATTGAGGATAATGGGTCATCCGTGACCCAGGAATCCCAGATACGGGAGTCGGCTAGGGCTTATGTAATACCCCGTTTTATTGTGGATTATTTGAGAATAATTATTGATTATTGTTATTATTAATTGTCTTTGTTGTTATAGTTATTATTATTATTATTATTATTATTATTATTATTATTATTATTATTATTATTATTATTAAATGCCAAATTGCTAATATTTGTTGTTATTAGTAATATTACAATTATTAATATTATTTGTCTAAATGCTATATGATAATTAAATAAAAATGTGTATTATATATGTATATATTAATGTGTATTATATATGTGAAAAATGTGTATTATATATGTATATATTAATATTCCATTTTATTTTATTATCGTCCGATTACATCGAGCCCGAGAGAACCTTGGCATCCGACCCAAATAACCGAACTCGCACCCAGACGTGGCCCATTACCCTTCAATTACACGTTCAACTTTTCTTTTGTATTGAGGGGATGAGTTCGCATAATTTTCAAGATCTCCCGTATCTCACTTTCTCGCAATTTTTGGCAACAACGGGAGAATTTCTCCCATATTTTTCGATCAGTTGCAACAGATTATATCCGTCGACCTATAAGATTGATCGAAGCCCTCATATCTCACCTCATCTCCTTCGGCCTATCTCTTTCACTTTTCCAAAAATTAGGCATCTTCGATTTCCCTCAACGACCATCGCGAGCAGCAATTGAGGAGCCAACTTTGTAGTCCGCGTGAACACCGAGAAGCCCAATTGAGAAATAAATGCCGTCGCGTGCCTCTGTTCGCGTGAACAACCGCCGTCGTCCGCCTATCGATCGCCAGCAGCGACCCACCGTCACCCTTCTTCCTCTGTTCGCGGATTGAAAGTCCTTATACTGGCATCGACCCCTATCGAGCCCTTTTATCGGCCGCACCAGTGAACCTCCTCTAACGGGTTCGAGCGCACACAACCGGCGACTATTTCTCGACGTTCAAGGCTCCAACCGGTGACTGGTTGAGCGCTCAACCATCCTCCGACGAGCCCAGGCTTCCGTCGACACCTCAATCCCCATCAGGCCGCGGATGCTTTAGAGCTCCGACCACTGTTCGACGAATTCGAGCTCCCAACGACAGCTCCGGTCAGCTCGTCCTTCAGCGACTGTGGGACCTTCGACTTCCAGCAGCCTACCGGGCAAGTCAAGTGACACTCGGGTTGAGGACAGCCGCAAACCGAGCCATCTCCGAGAGCCCCTGAGCCCAGCCTTTCTTTCTAGTTTAATTCTCGAGAAAGGTACATCGGCTGGGACCTTTACCTCTCTTTTTTTGCCGAATATAGATGAGTTTTAAAGGCTCCAGTTTTGGTTTTTAAAGGTTTAAGGGCATGCTAGACTTAGTTAAATTTTTAGAGAAAGAGGTGTGTTTGTTTGTTGTTCTTGTGACGTGTTGTGGCTCTGAGCCAGGAAATGTGTTTATTTTGCTCTTCTTGTGCTTAAATTCAGAGGCTTGAGTTCAGTTGGTAAGGCCTTATATTGTGTTGTACAGGTTTTAAGAAAGAATGAAAAAGAGAGACACGTGTTTTTATTGTGCTGTGCTATTTTCCTTTGGTTGCTAAGTGTACATTGATGCTTTTTCTTGCTGAAAAAAAAAATGTGAAAGTTTCAGAGTTTTAATTTAGTGTTTTAGCCTTTAATAAGTGGTGAGAGTTGAGAGGAAATTTAGTTTCAAAAGAATTTTATGCATGCTTAAATTTTGGTTAATGTTTAAGAGTTGAAGAGACTAAGTTGTAGCATGTGTTGGCCGTGACTTTGCCTTGAATGTGCTAATCTCTTTTCATGTAATTATGATGCTGAAGAGTGTTAGTTTTAGAGCTTTTAGTTAAGTTAATTTGGCATAATATTGAGAAAAGAAAGGATTTAATGCATACAAATAGGTTGTTGTGCTGTATATTTGAGCATGTTTACTGAAGCTCTGCTAGTGTATTCTTGTTGATTTTGATTTCTTTTCAAGAGCTTTGACTTCAGTTTTATGGCCTAACTGATTTTTAAATTGAGAAAATTATTTTAAGTCCCGAGACTCCAAATTAATTTTCCGGGTCTTATTTTACAAAAATGAGAGAGAGTTCCAAGTCCACGAAAAATCCGATTAAAACTCATGAGTCTTAATTTTTATTAAGTGTGAGTTTTATATTAAATTCTAGTAGTGAGATAGATTATTGATAAATTATCTCGCTTAAATGTAGGTATTTGAGGAGTCGATCCTCATCCTACGTACTTGCTTTTGTGTGCCGTTTTCTACCGAAATTTCCAGGTGGGTTGTAATTGTAAAAATTACTATGCCTTAAATGTTATTACTGTTTTAATTGTGGTATGATCAAGGTATGCATGTGAATCATGTAGCCTTCGGTGTGAGCTGTACCGGCCATCGAACGGTTATCCCCGTAGCTATAGAACGTACCCGTTGGGTAGTCTCCCTTGAGATCCGTAAGACCAGGGCGTAGGTTCTGGCTGGTGATCCCCGTCCCCCGGTTGTAAGACCAATTCGTAGGTTTTGGCCGGCGGGGTGGTTTACTCCTACTTGCTGGGCATCATTGTAAGACCAATTCGTAGGTCTTGGCGTTCGAATCGAGTATCAGCAGTAGTCTATGCGTAGATGTGCACATGAGTGTGATTATTGTGATTATTGATGGGAGAATGGGATAGTTTATTGTTTCGTATACATGCTAAGACCATACCTTTCGTTTATTGATTACTGTTTATTATTGATATTAACATTTATTGCATAGTGGTGAGCACTACTATTTCCTTTTGTGCTCATCCCCACCTGCTCTTCACGGATGCAGGTTAGCATTGCGGGCACTACTGAGGAAAGCGAGTGTGGTCATAATAAATTGTTATTGCTTCCGCTTGAAATTGGATTATTGCTATTATTGTTTCGTTCGATTACTGGATTATTGTTAGGGAATGTTTTCCTTAGGATTTTACGAGTTCTGATTATTGATCTGTGTTATTTGGATTATTGATTATTGATTAATGAATATTGAGGATTGAATATGGATGACTGTTGAATTTTGATATTAGTTTTGAAAATGAGTATCGCCTCAAGTGTTTTAAAATAAATTTCGAAAATTTATTCTGATTTTTGGCAAATAAAAGTGGGGCGTTACAGTTTGGTATCAGAGTTAGTCTGCGTTTCTGTAGACTGGTTTAAGTGGATTATGTGATTATGTGTTTCGAATTAATGTTAAGACCACTCGCTCTCGTCGTGCCGCGCCAGCTCAGGTATGAGTACCTGAATGACTTTGAGATTATTGTATATTGGTTTATTATTGATTATGGAAATGAAATTGGGGTTAGGGCTAATCCACCTTTAAATGCGAACTCTAGTATTGAACTCTAGACTTCCTATATGATTGTGCTAATTTTGTTCGGCCTATTCAATGTAGAGCTATGAATACCCGCAACAACCGCAACAGACAACCAACCCCGTCTCCGTCTCCACCTCACCAGCAGGCTCAAAACCCTGCTGGGGCTCATTTAAAAATCGTGCTCCAGTTCCGGAGTCTAACTCCACCAGAATTTCATGGGACTGAAGGGCCCGAGGCTGTGGCAGAGTGGATCCGTCAGCTAGAGCAGAACTTTGACCTCCTGCAGTGCTCTGACGAGCAGAAGGTTATTTTTGGCCGTTATATGCTTAAGGGAAGTGCCGCCTTATGGTGGTCCGGCTATTGGAGGTTGAGGCAAGCGGAGTTTAATGTCTTGACTTGGGATCGCATGATGGAGGTGATCATGGAGAAGTATTATCCTCAGGGTTATCGCATGAGGATGGAGCGCGCTTTCTGGGATCTTACTTAGGGGACTGGTACCGTTGAGGAGTACGAGCGGGAGTTCACCCGCATGAGCGCATTTGCTCCACACATGGTGGACACAGATCTGAAGAAGGCCCACAAGTTCCGGGATGGTCTGAATCAAACTCTTCGTATGCATGCTGCTAGCCAGGGCGATCTTTCAATTGATGAGACCGTTATCCGAGCCACCCTACTTGAGAGTTGTCAGACTCTCGATGCTTTCGTCCCTTCTGCTCAGCTAGTTCAGCCTATCTCCTCCACATCGTCCAGCTCTAGTTCGGGTAAGAGGAAGGCCGATTCCCACCGGGACAACCGGGAGGAAAAGCGTGGCGGGAATGACCGTCGTGGTGAGCGCCCCGTCGCTCAGGACCAGCTTCCAAAGTGCCGTAACTATGGTCGTTATCATCTAGGAGAGTGCCGTTTCACCCAGCGAGTCTGCTTCAACTGCATGAAGCCCGGTCACTTCTACAGCAATTGCACCGAGCCCCCGAGACAGCAGCCTTACCAGCAGCACCTCCAGCTGCGACAGCCCCAACATCAACAGCTTCCCCCGCCGCCGCCTCAACAACAGATTCAGCACCAGCAGCAGCAACAACAGGCCCAACCAAGGTATGGCGAAGGAGGTCGAGCACGGGTATACACGATGGCCCAGTATGAAGCTGAGCAGAAACAAGGCTGAGCAGTGGATCGAATGTCAAATTTGTGATGATTATTTGTCCATTATTTTGTTGAATTGCAATTCTCGTACTTTTTGGCAGACCTTGTTTAATTCCCTTTGCCTTGTTAGACAAGTTTGAATATTGTTTTGAGACTTCCCTTGATTGATCAATTTCAGTAATTTTTGAAACTCCATTTGTGTTTTCTTTTCTATGGAATGATATTTCGGATGGAGTTAAGAGTCTTTATTTTTCGGTTGGACTTCTATTCTCGTAATTTGGGAGTTTTGTTTCATGACATCTTTAAGACAATGCAAAAGGTTCAAGAGGGAGAATAATGTTGCAACTCTTGAGAACAACTGGGCCTAGTGATAGGCGTAATTCAATCATCCTTTTGTGAACGAATGGAGCATCATGCCGGAGGATCGTACGAGGAAGTCTTTGCCTACCTGATCGAGAAGAAGTCTTTTAAGGAGGATAGCCAAGGACTTATGAGAAATATTGTGAGTAATCAGCCAATTGACTCATGAAGAAGTACGAGTACCCTGACAACGAAGTCGGAGTACTTGGATATTGAAGTTGGAATTAGGGTCGCAAAGCACTAGGGAATTTTCGATCTTCGTATACATATCGAAACGGGGAGATGTAACAGGTGATGAGAAATGAACAGTAGCTATTGGATGCGGGCAGTGCAGGTGTACTGCGTGTTGGTGCCGCACACAGGTGTGCCACGCTCGGTGATGCATCTCGAGTTGTATGAAGTGCCGTGTGTAGTGTGCCGCAGGTAGCGTGCCGCATTGCCGCATGCCAGGCCAGCCATTCATGTCACAGCTGCCAAGTCTCTAGCGTGTAAATACGTATCGATTTTGGGAAATTTTCAGGTGTATTGCATTGACCTAAGTCTTCTTTGGAGGACTAATGAAGTGAGGCAACTTTCGAGGTTTTACCTTTATGAGTTGTTGGGTTAAAGTGCATTATTGTACCACGTGAAGTGAGGAGCTTCGTGGTAAGAGAGGAGGCTTCGACCAGGTTGCATCAGTTCTATTATGACTCTCGACCAAGTCAATGACTTAACCTGATGGTTGAATCCACCACTGGAGTATGCGAGGATGCATGAAACGTTTTATGCCTCATGATGGAGGGGACGTATGCTTGACCTCGAGGTATGTGTGGTTTGTGACGAGCTGCGTGTTAGGCAGAACCCTACCTGTATGGAGGTACCAGGAGACTTGTTGGAACTGTCCATCAGGGAAAGGCCGGAAGGGGTATTCGTCAAAGTCCAGTGGGGGAAGTCAAGTCGAGGGCAAAGCGACTTGGAAGAGGGAAACCGAGATTCGGAGAGAGTACCGAACACCTTGTGTTGATATTTCCCATGTATTTTAGTTGTTTTAGTTTTTGAATTCCGAGGACGTAATTCTTTGTAAGGTGGATAGACTGTACTACTTCGTTTTATTGTGGATTATTTGGGAATAATTATTGATTATTGCTATTATTAATTGTCTTTGTTGTTATAGTTATTATTATTATTATTATTATTGAATGCCAAATTGCTAATATTTGTTGTTATTAGTAATATTACAATTATTAATAATATTTGTCTAAATGCTATATGATAATTAAATAAAAATGTGTATTATATATGTATATATTAATGTGTATTATATATGTGATTAATGTGTATTATATATGTATATATTAATATTCCATTTTATTTTATTATCGTCCGATTACATCGAGCCCGAGAGAACCTTGGCA